TTTGCTATCTAAATTTTTTGTTTCGGATTTTTAGCTTAAATTGCATGTTAAAAATGTGGTTTTTCGCATTTGCAAAAACCGCATTTTTGGAGACATTTTAGGCTTAAAGTTCGAAATGTAGACAGCAAAATTAAGATAGTAATATGGTACCATGGAGTTTCTCGCCAAAAACATTTGGCGAGAAATTTGTCGCCAAGCGAGGGCGTTTACAAGAGTAGTTCCGAGAATAAAATTTAAATTACTAGAGCTCTTGCAGACGACCTGTCAGTTTTATTAGCTAGATCTTGAATGCATGATTTCAGCACATTCATTGTTCAGCCATTCAAGATCCAACTGACGAAGCAGATGGGTCGTCTACAGGAACTCTAATAATTGAAATTATAACCTATTTGTTTAAACATGGCTTTCGTTCAGTTGCTCTTTGGCAGCTGAGGTTGATGGTTCGGTAAAACCATTGAAACTAGTCCTGTGAAAAATTGCAAATATAACACTGATTTTTGTAGTTTAACTTCTAAATTAATATAGTTTTTATCTCATCTTTAACTTAGTTTAATTGCACGTGTCATTTGATTTCTAAACCCCAAGATTATTTTGGTTGTAAAACCAATGCTGATATAGTGATATAACCCTGCACATTTTTGCACTTCATCATTGATGCTAATATGTTTAGTGCACTGCATTTTAATTATCCCTGAGATATTTTAAATTCACTAGTGATACTCATGCTCTTGTTAACAGCAGAACTGGGACAACTACATTTTAATGAAACAAATCACGATCATCTTCCTATTTTCACAGAGAGAAACTCAGTCACTTTCCTGGACTGTCTGAAAGCTATATTTCAAAAATTTCATTAAGATTAAAATAAAAGAAACCAAACCTGGTAGGAAATAATATGGCAATGGGAAAAACTTCAGCATTACTCATAAATATAAGTACAAGAAATACAAAAAAGGAAAACTTTTTTTTTTTTTTTTTACTACACTTAACTGTAAATACTGCAATGCATTTGAACTTTCATAAACCTATTTAGCTTTGCATATAATATGTAAGGATTAAAATAATAATAAAAAAATCTCTATTAGAGGAGAGACGTAAGCTATCTACTAATTTAAATTTCCTCTACATGCAGTGGAGAACAAAAATAAACAAAAAACACAGCAAACTATATATGAATACCTTAATGATTCCAGGACAGTTAGGTCCTACAAGACGTGTCTTGCTCTGCTGCGTAAGTTTATGCCTCACCCGTACCATATCTTGTTGAGGAATACCTTCAGTTATACAAACTACAAGAGGAATTTCAGCATCAATAGCTTCAGAAATGGCTGCAGCAGCTCCTGATGCAGGAACATAAATTACAGTAGCAGTAGCTCCTGTCTTTTCAACTGCCTATAGCAATGAAATTTTAGTCATCAATAATCAACATACGATTGCAATTAAAAAAGCAGTAAAGTATTTATGAGGAAATATTTCTGACTGATTAAAACTGAATGCAAGTTTTGTAAGCAAAACTTAATTAGCAGAAAGAGTTTTTTCTGCAAACATTAGAAAATAATTAAAAACTGTAATAAGAAGAAACTGCAAAAGATTCTGCTAATAGCACTCAGATCATTTACAAAATCTGGCCTATATCACTGATAACCAGGCTAAAAATCTCAAGAACTACTTTCAGATTTTAAGCTATTTGGTGAACTATTTAGCTTTTAAAGCATTTTTATGATTTCACACATTACATATTCATTAAGATTACAAATGTAAAAATGTATAATGCATAAATATGAAAAAAATTAGAAGATTAGATTTTCAATAAAACAAAGTATGAGCTTAAATATCTTAGCAGTCTAAACATACAATAGAAAATAATTGGAAAATGTAAAAATGTCACTGTCAGTTAGAGTAATAATAATTTTTCTTCAATGTATTTTCTGTATGTAATGAATAAATTTTTAACTAGTTTTAAATACAGTTATCAAATCTTCCAGGTAGCATGGCAACCCTGATTTATGCATCTTATTGACCTTCTGAAGTGACAAATTTAAAACAGATGAGAAAATGCAGTGACAAAAGGTTTGGGCCACAGCAAAGAGGGTTTTCTTTTTTTCAGGAGGCTGTGTTATATAATCATGTTTCTGTCAAGTCAATGAAAATTTTACAAAAACGAATGAAAAGTTAAAAAATAAAAACAAAACAAGATATTTGAGGAAAAGATATTTACAAAAAAATTATCTAAAAATTGATTTACAAGTTTATCAAAATATTTTACTAAGAAAAGCAGAACAACAACATACTGTTCTGAAGTAACCTGTACTGATGCCATCAACTAATATGGATAAGATTAATGACCACATAAACACAAACAATTTTAAATAAAATGCAAATGCCCAAATATTAAAATTTAAATTTTGGTATTTGGAGTTTTCGTTAAGAGTTTTAAGTATTTCAATACAGACAGAAAAATACACAGAAGAAAAGTGTTAAACGTAGTTCTTACATACATCATGCATCATAACTTATTATTTCATGCTGGAAACTCAATTATTCTCAATTTATGCCTCAATTATTCATGCAAATTGTAATAAGAATTTTATTTCCTTAAAATTAAATTGATGACTCCAGTTTTTACCCTCAGTTAATTTTTCTCAATATAAGGTCAGCAGTAAAGTTTTTCTATTATATATGATTGTTCACATTAAGGATAATATGACTACTAAAAATACACTTACGTATTAATGCAACTGTCTTGGCACATTTAATGACTTTTTACACAATGAGTAATTTATAATTGCAAATTTTTTTATAATATATGACTATATATTTTACATTTTAATTAGATATTTATGCCGAAAATCAATTAATAAAACAACTTACAAGGAGGTTTTTGTTCTGATGGAAATTTTGTGATGATGCCTTAAGAACAGATTGAAAATAATTGTTATCTTTAGCAATTTTGCAGCAAAATATGTGCAGATATTTTAAATAGCAAAATATGTGCAAATAAAAAACTGCAGAAATTTTACAGCAGTTTCATAACGTTGCGAGCAAATACCATAAGCATATATTTTAAAATCAAATTTAAAGTAAAAAGTATAACTGACTGTCAATAAAAACAATTGAAACATGAATGCAATGAAAATGAAAGCATATGAAAATGACAGCATTTCCTTTTAAGACCAAATAATTTTTATGCGAATGATTGTCAGGGTTTCACATATTCTAAAGATTTGGTGACTTCTACTAAAGTGATTGCGCTAATATGCAACTGCTGAAAAATGTACTAATATTTAAATACTGAATTATTTTAAAGGAAAACTGTAATAAATGTAAAAAAAAAAAAAAAAAAAAAAATATTGTATTGCAAAGTAATGCTTCTATATAATATTTGATTTTTTTTTAGCAAAAGCAAGTAATAAATACATTTAATATCATTGGTAGAATGATAGAATTCAAATTTTCATTTATTTATGCCAGCAGTTTCCAAGACGTCAAAGCAGTAAAATTGTTGTGCTATTCTGACTACAATGACTAAGGAGTAAATCTGCATCTAATTTCATTACCCACACATTTAATATTTTAAGAATAACAACAATATTATAAACTGTTTATTATAGCTTTAAGATATTATAGATTTTTTACTTTAAATTTATTAAATTAAAAGTTAGTTAAAAATTCATTGATAGCTATATGAAATTATAAAAGTAGGTTTAATTTTTGCTGCAGCATCTTAACTTCCATTCTCTCACTTTCCATCCAATCTATGCATCTTGATCATATTCTACAAGTATTAATAATGCCATAATTATGAATTTTCATTTAAAAGAATATTAAACTCACTCACATTTTATAACAAACCTATGAATATATAACAGGATATTTTTTAAAGATAAATTTACAAACATACTGCATTTTTCATTTTAACTTACATATATTAATAGGAACATAATCATTCACATAAAATTAATATATACAAATACCTCCTTGACTGATTTGAAAACAGGTAATCCCAAGTGAGTTGTACCTGCTTTATTAGGAGAAACTCCACCAACTAAATTAGTTCCATATTCAATAGCTTGTTGGCTATGAAATGTACCCTGCAAAAAGTCAAAGTTAATACAAATGAATTATTAAAACAATCACCGATAGGAAATATCTACAATTCAAAAAGTATTTAGCTCACATAAACTTTTATCTACCATAATTACAGTGGATCCTAAGAGTCTGAATGAAAGTTTATAATTAATTTCTGATCTTTTTGGGGGGACTTTCTGAATATCCACACCTTTACCGAAAAGTCACGAAAATGTATTCATGAAATAAAGCATTGCATTGCCAAAAGTATTTAGCTGGCAACTCAGATATGCATGTCTGTTATGCCAAGATTGAGCAAATTTCTGGTGTTTTTCCAAGCAAAAACAGATGTTGTGCACATGGGGAGAACAATACACAGAATTTCACAAAATAGGTAATGCTAAATTACTGATATTTCTTGCTTTTTGTTATTTTATTGATTGATTACTTTTGTATGTATTTCTTATCATGTGACCATTTTGAAAATAGCTGCTGCCTTTTGCATATTAGCCTGGGAAAAAATTAACAAGCAAAAATCATTGAGTTCCTGAATGCTGTCCAAAATTGGCAGGAAGTTGGTCACTTTTCTGTAAGAAAGCAATAATTAGAAAATAACCTTTTTGCTCATTTCTAACAACCTTAAAACATGAAAAAAAAAAATAAAAAATAAAAAATAAAAAAAAAAAAACAAAAATAAATAAATAAAAAAAAAGTAAAACTATTAAATTAGCCAAATTTAAAATATAATATATATAATATATACATACCCGTTTCCAGATGTTAGTTACGTTTAGTATGAATGAAGTGGGGTGATGACACAATTCTTTCTTTTACAAGAAACCAAGCTTGTTTTTCAATTTTTTATGACACATTTATATTATTTATAAATTCAACTGGATATTTATCAATAAACATTAATTTTAAAAAATTAACAGAAACATTATTATTATTAATAAAATTGGCTTAAAGATAAAAATAAAAATACTGTATTACTTTTTAGATGACAGACAATTGATACATTATACATTAACTATTTTTCATCAGACTATATCAGAAGCATATTTTTATTGCAAATCATAAAATGTTTAGAACCAGAACTGGATTTAGATTTGACGAGATCCTAAGCTATTTGAGATATGGAGCCCTTTTGAGGGATATAAGTCAATTTTTTTTATATGGGATATGGTACAACTTTTGGGGGTGGTCATAAGAAAATGGGGGGGCCTAGGTTATAGCTTGTACAACCTATATTTAAATCTGGCACTGTTCAGAACTTAGTGTTTTCCTATTAATATAAAGTATTTAACATAAAAACTGAGTAGCATGTGATAAGCTCAGACATTAAGAATGAATCAATAAATAAAACTTAAGTCTCAGCCATAGTTAATGATGGGATACATATGTTACACCTGTAGCGACTGACTTATAAGCGCATCTATTATTCTGGAAAACTTTATTATATGAAATAAATTTTCCATGGTACAGGGTAAAGCATTCTTTAAATAACCTAAGATTACACTCTGGGCACTCGTATTTGTTCTTTTCTCTATGTTCATCTGTGTATACTGAGCACAGCGGCATCTTGATTTTCCAATTATTGGAAGATGATTCCCAACATTCAGGAGATTCTAAGTACCTTTTAACCCAGTAGTAATTTTTAAACTTTTAGCGAGTCATATGTGTCCCGTTAGTAGTCAAAGAGTTAAATGTCTGAAATAGCATTATAGAATCACAAAATTGGGTATACACTTTATAAACATTTCAATTCCCCCACCGTTTTCTTTAAATGAACCAGTATAATAGATCTGATGCTGCAATGTACCATTATATGATATCCATGGGAAATAAGTCTTCCCCCCCAAAAAAAAAATTCTCAAAATGAGATCTAGAGCAGAAGCAAGTGCTGATATTTGGAAACTTGCAATTCAATGCCTGATCAAAACAAATCTCTACGTGAAATTACAAAGAATGTTTGAAGTAATCACGGATGCACATTAAAAATCATCCAAAAGTTATCAAAAGTCTAGACTAGTAAAGAAATAAACCTGGTAGTGAGAGAGAAACAATTTTTCAATTTGATAACTAAGAGAAACATTATTACACAATGAGAAAACATCCTAAAAAGGAGTATTGCAGGAACTGCTACATCAATGCTTACAGCAGAAACAATCAGGAGGATGCTCAGAAAAGCTAATTATACTGATTAGGGTAACCAGGGAAAGGGCAGAAAAATTAATTTCTAAAGTGAATAGAAAGAACTACTTTTGCTATAAAGCATATATCAGAGCCTGAAGATTTTTGGAATAATGTCACATTCAGTAACTAAAGTAAATTTAATGTTTTCATATGTGATGGCCGAAGCTATACATAGTGGAAGCCTAATTCTGAATGACTTTCCCGAAACATAATTCCCACAATCAGGCATAGGGAAGGCTCTGTCTTTGCATGGGGTTGTATGTCAGCAGAAGGAGTGGATAATTTAGTTTTTATACATGGCATAATGAATGATACGGAATATTTCGTAAACAAATTTCACAGAAATTGAGTTTTACAAACTGAGTTTTTTACGGTCAAATTCTGCATTTCATTAAGACAACAAATGACCCCAAAGATACAAGCAAAACTGTGAAATTATGGTTATTAAACAATTGTAAAACGCATTGCATAACTCCACTTTTGTCTCCAGACCTCATTGTAATTGAAAATTTGTGGTTTTAATTGAAAAATATATTGAGAAACACAACATTAGGAATAAAGAACACTTAAAAATTGTGCTATGAGAAGAATAGGCAGCCCTCAGATAACAGAAAGCTCTCTCTAATCACACATCATGCTGTTTAGAAAAGGATATGCAACAAAATATTAATTCATTTTACCTTTTTCTAATGAGCTGGACTAACTGTATACTCAATTTTGTGACTATGCAATTTGTAACTTTGACTAGAAGTTCATGTTAATAAAATATCATCAATTTCTTATTCTTGTTTATAACTTTTATTTGTTTTTCAATGTATCTTATTATTCCTTCAGGTGTTTAGCTTGAACATGATTTAATATGACATTTTATACCTTTAATGAAGAGAGAGAAGGATTTATAAAAAATTTTCAAAATGATTGTATGTAACAGGCATCAACAAACTGCAGCTTGCAAGATGCATGTTGCTCTTTGACACCTTAACTATGGCTTGTGAGCTACTTGTGGCTCTTTGAAATGTGACTTGCGTTTAATAAACAGTAGTTTAACTTTTTGAATATATATGGAATTTGAATCATGCAATGACACGTTTCTTTATTAATTGTTAATTTAATTTCTTATGTATGTATGTAATAATTTAATCGATTTCAAATTGTTCACCACTGGCCTGCACAAGATATACATATACGAAATTAATCTAAAAAGTAATGCTCTGTAACATTTATTTTTCCCTTACACTAATTTTATTTAACGCAGTTTCTATTGATATACCTTCTGTAAGATACTATTTCCAACAGTCGTGATCTACTTGGAAGATGAGGTACTCTAGTATGGTACTACTTTTATTCACTTCTAAAATGGCGTAAGTAACTGCTGAATAATTCACTTTCACCCTGCAATCCATGCACCGCTTTTTCAATTCATGGAAGAATTTTAAATCTAAAGACTTAATTTTTGGTGGAGAGAACTTTCCCACTCGCACTTGGTTAGGAGAACTATCTCAGGTTTCTTTCAAAATTCCTCTTCGTTATGCAATTTTAGCATTTTTATGTAATTCCTTCACAGTTTTTGCAACCGCTTTGAGTAATATGCTATGCTGCAATGAACACTATTTCCATGTGAAACTTTTGTAATTATTTGGCAGAGATCTTAATTTATTTCACAAATGGTTGTGTTTGCTGAAATATTTGGGATCGCCGAAAGAATCACTGGATTGAAAACAATTTCAATTTTAGTCGAAATTTTTAATTCACATTTTATCAGTTGTTATTTGAAATCACCTTCATCATTAAACCATAACAAAAAATGAATATCAATCTATTTATTACAAAAGCAAAAGATACATAATTATACGCGATTGGTACAATTCTAAATCTAATTAGGCATAGATAAATAATAAATTTTAGTATAATCATTTATGACAAATATTAATGTGAAATCTAAGATTTTTGGAACATATACGTTGAATTCAGGTTTTAATTTTTATATACAAACACGGATTTTATTTGCCACAGAAAGGTGATTTTTATCCTTACTCTTAATACTTGTTAAACAAGGAAAAGTTTGTTCACACATGAACAATACTGAAAACTGCAGCGATATATTAATTGTCCAAAACTATGTCATTAAATCTCATTTTCAATGAATCATCCAATTCATGAAGTCACAAAGTTCTTCCTTCAAAGTTGGGTTCTGAGGATGAAAAGAAGTGCGAGAGACACACAGAAATAATAGGTAAAAGAATATTTCCGGGTATCCCTTGGCGAAAATTGGGACAGGGATGGAAAATAATCATAAATTTCTTCAAGAGCTCTTCGAGATGGGATACTATAAAACACCAAATTTGTTGGTATCCATCTTCACTTTTAGTGCCGCAAATAACTGAAACGTATCATAATTCCCTTACAACATGGTCTTTTCACAGCTTAATTTCCTTTTAAATCCCAGTATTTTGTCAATTGAAGCTAGCACATTTGCTCCGCTACTTTGCAGTAACTTGTTGATTCAACTGAATGAAAAATATCTGCTAAATAAGGTAGCATCTGCACCCATATTTGACCCTCAAAGCATTTAGTGAAATCTTGTTTGTTGTTTTGTTGAAATCGTATATGCACTTCTTCTTTTAACTCAATAACCCTATCAAAAACTCTGCGCCTAATTAACCACTGGAGTTTAGTACAGTCAAAAGTCGTTAATCCGGACCCATCGGGACTTCGGCGATTCCGGATTATCGATTTTTCTGGATTATAGATTATCAGTTTAAATTTGGTAAGATGGCATGCAGAAATTATAAAATTAAAAATATGAAACCGTAATTTATGAAATAAAGAACAATTATGATCTAAAGGGTATCAAAATTTACAAAAAAAAAAAAAAAGCTTAATATTTATTTGTTTACTTATTAAACATTTCTTTCAATGTAAGTTGTTTAAGTTGCTACGTTTTTTTTTTTGTGATAATACATTCTCTTTAATTCTATAAACAGACATAATTTCTTGTTCAGTTACAAAGTTCCGCTGTTCAAGTCCTATAATTGCTGTGTCGAGAATACCGACTAATTTGTCAATCGAAATTTTTTCGTTTTCAATAACCTCTGCGTCACTTTCTTCACTATCGGAAGCGAATTATAATGACGAGGAATTTGATTTAAATCATATCAAAGACGGAGTACATCGAGATGAAATACTACATTTAGTAAGGAATTATAAGCCAAATAAAATAAAAACATCTGCCCTGAAGATAAGGATAGTGCTGACAGATCAACTTCCAATTCATTGCACGCGTGCGTTTCCCTACCCCCTGCAGAGCAGCGTGAAATTGATAAACATTTCGTTAATGTTAGATAAACAAGGATATGCCTTTATCCACTTTTGTTTAATGGACTTCGAAACATACTTTTGCTTTGTAGATCCTTTACATATTAGTAAATATATATCGGAAATTCTATTTCACATAATCGGAAGTTCAAGCTTACTTTTATAAAATTGCTGTAACAGTCTGCAAAAAAATAATAAGCCAGATCCAATTCGAAGATTAAGGAACAATGCAATCTGCAACATTAACTGAATTAGATAATTTTAGCTTAGCTTATAATATCCGTTATACATTAAACGCGCATGCGTAAACGTATTATGCGTATGTGCACATGCGTATTCGCAGCCGTAAAAGTTTGTAGCTTTGAGTTCCGGATTATGGGTGTCCGAATTAACGACTTTTGACTGTATATAAGAACAGATTTGTGCACACTTAAGCCATGTTTTTACAAACCTTTTTAAAAATTCCGAAGTAGCTTTCATTTAATGAAATTTACCATTTTTATAACATCATTTCTCTATGAATAAAGCAGTGTGTTGAAACAACATTGGCAGTTTTTCTTTTACATGAGAAATAAAGTCTTAGGGACCAACCACAGTAGCAGCACCCTACTAGAGTACAAAGGCCGTAATCCTGACTCATCGGGACTTCCGCGATTCCGGATTAGGGGTTTTTCCAGATTATAGATCATCAATTTAAATTTTGTAAGATGGCATGCAGAAATTATACAATTAAAAATATGAAACCGTAATTTATAAAGACATAAAGGGTATCAAAATTTACAAAAAAAAAAAAAAAAAACTTAATATTTATTTTTTTACTTTATTAAACATTTCTTTCAATGTAAGTTGTTTAAGTTGCTTCGTTTTTCGTGCTAATACTTTTTCTTTGATTCTATAAATAGACATAATTTCTTGTTTAGTTACAAAGTTCCACCTATAGGAAGCGTTTTTTTTTTTTTTCTGGATCCCTTTACCATACTACAGATTTTGCTGTCCGCTAATTGATTGATGATTCTTGCATTGTCGTTGCAATGAAAAACTTCTGTTATATCATCTTCATTTAATACAGCTTCTCCACATTTCTTTACAAAATCCAATAACTGGAAAATTTCACCTTTAGTTTGCGATGTTTGAAAACCTTCAAATTCACAGCTATCATCTTATCGTCCTCACAATGAAATATGGCAGCTGGCCATAAATTATGCCAAGCATTTTTTAACGTATCTGGAGACACATCCACCCAACGCGCATGCGTAAAAGCATACAAAAAAAAGTTTGTGGCTTTGAGGTCAAGATTATAGATCATTCCAGATAATGGATGCCTTGATTACAGACTTTGTACTGTATCACAAATTTACTTGATTTGACAAATGAATCTAATCTGCACCTAAAGTGAAGAAACCATTAAAATTGAGTAAAAAATACAGCACTACAGAACTGCTAGCCCTATTGCTACGTTTTCCTCTTTAAACTGCATTTAGAAAGACAGAAAATACCCTAAAAATATAAAATTAAATGTTATGCAAATTAACATAAAAATTTTAGCTGCAAAATAGTACCATAAAATTACAACAATACCTGTTTTCCTGTGAAACCTTGACAAATAACTTTGGTATCTTTGCCTATCTTCAAATTTGAACGTGTATTAGCATAACAATTACGGACACTAAGCTGTCTCAAGACTGAAAATAAAAGGACACATGAGAATGCTGTAACATTTTAATAACCTTAAAACATTTTTGATAAGCTTTCTTTTCTATTAGAAAGTATCTTTCTTTCCTAAAACGTTTTTACCAATTCCAAAGTGACTTAGATCATGGTTTCAAACTGCAGGTGAGCTGAATGCACAATTTAAAAGCTGCTGAGAGGCCAGAATTTTTTTAACAAAATAAAATTTTTTAACTAAATTTAAAATCTTATTTACTAAATGTTTACCTAAACTTACATAAAAAGTAGTAAGAAAAGATTCAAATCTACACTTATTTTTCACTTGAAAGCTATAAGAAATTTCTGTTAGCTACACTTTGTAATTCAAACATATTTGATGGATAAATAAGGAATTTTCTTAGTATCATTTATTTAAATATTTTAATACTTACTAAATTTATTATTTTAAAAGACTTATTAAATGATAAAAATATAGTTTTAATAATGAATAACTTTAAATAGTAACTAATTCTTAAATGCTAGTAACATAAAAATACCTTACACATAAGAAACATTTTTATTACTTGCATCGTTTAAGAAAAAAAAAAAAAAAAAAAAAAAGACACTTTAATCAGTTTTCGTACAAATGTTATAAACAGTGGCAGATTTTGCTTTCTTTAAGAAAGAAACTTCATAATTTTGTTCATAGCAATTGCCATGTAGGCCCGCTTTCGCTAATAAAAGTTTTTCTAATGTGTCATCGCTAATATTAGATCTAAATTTAGTCCTCGTTTTTGCAACAACACTGAGAATCCTCTCACACTCGCATTACTATGGGGAACTGTCACGATGGCCAACACAATTCTAGACAGTTCACTATATTTTAAAATTCCAACAGCACCTTTCAGTTTTCCAATTAAACTCCACTGGGTGTCAAGCCTAGCTGATTTTATAACTTCATCCAAGTTTTCTAATTGTAAACTGCTATTATGCAGCTGTTGGAATGGTTTCAATTTTCCCTTCCTTTTAGAACTACTTTCAAGATAATAATAAATATCAACAATGTGTTCATCCACATTTATTGGTAAAGAAGCTGCCCCTTTTTCAGCTGCTAAATCTAAGAGGTGACAAGTGTGCCTCATAATTTGCAAATCTGAATATTCCTTTCTTAAGATGCCTGCAACACCATTCTTCAAGCCTACCAATACTGGTGCATTATCGGCACTAAGTGCTAAGCAATTATCCAGAGGGACTGCATTTTCTTTTAAAGTTTTAATAATTGCAAGTGCTATATGAAAGCCTCTCAAATGTCCTTCTAAAGTGAGGACAGAAAATAAATTGCACTCCATTTCTGAAGACTCCGGATTAAAAAAAAGAAACAACAATTGGATACAGTTTTGAATTGGTATTACTGCTTCCATTCGTAGAGAGGCAGAACGGAGCTGTTTTAATGTAATCAATAACTGAAGATTTATTTTTCAAACCCATTTCTTTAACAATTACACCTGTTTTGGTTCTTCCACTTGGGTATTTCTTAGCGATTTCACTATCGGGAAACATTTTTCTAAATAAAGCTGCAGCATGATCCGATGCATTTAGTGGCAGGTTGTGCTCCAATAAAAAGGCAGAGAACAGACATTCTGCATTAATAACTTTTTGGTCCTTTGTTTCTGAAGAAAAATTGGTACTTTTCCGTTTCGCCGGCGCAAATCTCGCCAAGCAGACTTTATTGGCGACAACATACAGTATACACATAAAAAATATTTAAAAAATGTTAGTTTTAAGAATCTTTTTTAAAGGCATAAACATTTTAATATCGCTTAAAATTTTATAAAAAACTGATAAATAAAGACAATAAATTGTAAAAAGACATTCATTTAAGAATTTACTACGCTTTCATGGTTCAGCATCCTGATTCGCCGGTTCATATCATGTGACCCCAAGCGATCTCATCTCACGTAAACTACTCTCTACAAAAATCTAATGCTCTCAGTAATTATCTACATTAATTTCAAGTTAAATCTTAATTTGGAACACAAGTTCAAATGCAAGAAATATTTCAATTCGTACGAATAGCTAACTCAGAAATTATGTAAAACTGCAGTACTTTACTTCGCTAATGCATTCTATGGCCTTGGACATAAAACTGAACTATCTGATAAAAATTCTATGTAATTATATGTCAGTATTGAAAGAAACAATCAATCTGATAAGAAAAAGCTGCAACTTGTTTTGAAAATGAGGCGTAAAAGGTTACCAGCGAGAATATTCCGTTTGGCATCGGTTGCACCATTATTAGCGACTTTATCGCTTGCGCCGGTAAAACGGAAAAGTACCGAAAAATTTAATTTTCCATTTTTTTCAAAACAACTCATACTGTCCTTGTGTATGCACTTGTTTGAGAACATCTGCCGTACACATCGCAAATTTATTAAATTTCCTTGAGGAAATAATGGAAGTCAACTGTGTACGATTTTTGAAACTTACACGAGTATTTCACCTTTCTTGTAGACATAACAAAAGATGATAATTTCTAAAACTATTTTCCGAAGGCATGTATACTCACACAACTCAGGACAAAATTAACGAAATAAGTAAAGAACATTCAAATAACAGCTTGCTTTGTCCTCATTGGCTAATATATGCCAGATGACATGCAGTAGAGCTCGATACCCATTGGAGAACTGGAGAACGATGTTTCTGGATATGTATATGCTATCACTCACAAAGCAGAAGTTATTTGATTCACAAGGTTTTGTTTTAGATATAATCTAGAGAAAATTCAATTGCTTTCAGACGTCCAAAATCTTTTTTTTTTTTTTTTTCTGTTCATATAACAATGTATTAAGAGAAGTTCCATAAAAATCGTGAGAAATTTTAAGAATAAAAAGTCGGGAGAAATATATTGTAAATCGGAATGGTGGGAGAGCGGTCAAAAATCGGGAGTCTCCCGCCTAAATCGGGAGAGTTGGCAACTCTGCTACAGCATGAAATTTGATAGTGTTTCAATTCTGATTAATTTGTAGCCTTGGAGAAAAATGACTAGAAATTATCTTTATTGTGGATTATAAATGCTCATCAGTCAATTGTTTTTAGGCCTATTAGTTTTCAGTCAGGAGAAATTATTCATATATAAACATACCTTCAAAGTTATTATTCATATTTTAAAAATTTACAACCAAGGGTATTTATCTTTTAAAAATTACAAATAATAATTAATCAAAACTGTCTTTAAATCTTTTAATAAGATTTATATCATAGTGTAAATTATTAGCTCCATTTGTAGCTTTTTTAAAGTGTTATTCATATTTGTTTTTAGTAATGAAAATAATGGGTACTTTTCTATTTTCTTGGTGCCCATCATAATGTTCATGTGAAATGAAGTAAAATGCCTCTTTCCTGGAAGAATGATATGGCATCTTCCTCAGTCACAAGTGAAACAAAAATTATAAATATTTGTTTAAAGAATGTGAATACATTTAATTGTGGTCTACTCAAAGCTCTTATCTTCCTCAGTCATAGGTTTTCTAAAGTTTGAGCTGTTACTCACACCACTTTATTGACATCAACTTCTCTGCCCAACAATTAATAAATGCACTTTTGCAAATGATTTTCTAAAGCCAATAAAACAGTCTTTAGCTTTTAAACTTTCCTTTTGCTTGCAACTTTTAATACTGCACCTCCAAATGCTTTCATCTATATAGTTTTTATTTCATGGTCAATTTTGCATATTCTAACAGTAGTAAGATGTCTCTTACTTTGAAGAATATCTATCTATATTTTTGAACTTCCTCATTCATTGAAGAACACTGCAGGGAAGTAGAAGAATGATGATGCTTTTCTGTTATTGGAACCGGATTAGGAAATGTATGTATGTGTATACACACACATATATGTAAGATACAACAAAATACAATGGCTGCTTTAAGAAATAATTGGTGACTTCAACATTAATGATTCTAAATTTTATGTTCTTGCGCTTAAATTCATCTGTTCTCCCAAATTCGAGATCTTTCCATGTTACATAACGCTGCATGTAAAGGTAACTAAAACCAAAATTAACCAATCACAGTTTCAGGTACCTTTTGCATCTACTAGGTATAAATATCATTCACAAGTAATTACATCATTCCTTTCCTAGCTTCTACCACTGCCGAAAATCTCCCCGTTGCTTGATGTCGCCGCCTTTTACCTGTGTATATGGGAAATTATTCTATTTGTATATGATAAAAAAGTATATATTTTTTTATGTGATGACAAGTATATTGTTTACGAAGAATGATTCTAATGTGCTAGAAATAAAGATGGTAATTGGCCGAACTTGGTTTGTGTCAACATCTTCCTGTTATTAATCCATTATTTTTAGAGATATTTATTTTTTTAAAGTTTCGAATGCTTTACTATGCGCAAAATACGTAAAAACAGCATTTTTCAAGATGGCTGATGATTGTAAAAATTGCGCTAAAGTAAATCACCAAAAATCCGTGCAACCGTCTACCAAAATAGCACCAAAAAGTGAAATATAAATAACGATAAATTATTAAATTTGGTACTTCAGTGGTTACATAAAATCTTCACATATGATTCTTTCAAATTAATTTTAAATATTGCCAAAGTGCTTGCAGTGGCTGTTTTAACAAGGAAGTACAAATCGTTATTCATACTCTTAAAACTGCAAAGATGAATCACAATGTGCTATTTATATGCATCAAAATTTATACACAGGCAATTAAATTAATCATCATCGATACAATAATGATGCATTTATCAATGAATGTTATATATAATCCATTTAAATAAGGCAGAAAATTATAATATATCAATGTTAGAAATGAAAAAGGTACTTATGTGAAATAATCTTTAAATGAGAGAAGGTGTGTATTTCTATGCACTAGCAATAGAAAATAAAAGAATTCTAGAAGCATTGTTGTAGGTGTTCAAATAGATGACATCTAGAGGAGAACAAGTGCAAAAATCTACAAGGATGTATACTTATCCAGGCACCATAAATTTTATCAGCACCCAATGATTAAGA